AGGTACTATCTGTTCAATACAAACTCTCTATAACATACCTGGTTTCACTCACCTGATACCATGGAGGTACTATCTGTTCAATACAAACTCTCTATAACATACCTGGTTTCACTCACCTGATACCATGGAGGTACTATCTGTTCAATATAAACTCTATATAACATACCTGGTTTCACTCACCTGATACCATGGAGGTACTATCTGTTCAATACAAACTCTATAACATACCTGGTTTCACTCACCTGACACCATGGAGGTACTATCTGTTCAATACAAACTCTATAACATACCTGGTTTCACTCACCTGATACCATGGAAGTACTATCTGTTCAATATAAACTCTCTATAACATACCTGGTTTCACTCAACTGATACCATGGAAGTACTATCTGTTCAATATAAACTCTCTATAACATACCTGGTTTCACTCACCTGATACCATGGAAGTACTATCTGTTCAATATAAACTCTCTATAACATACCTGGTTTCACTCAACTGATACCATGGAGGTACTATCTGTTCAATACAAACTCTCTATAACATACCTGGTTTCACTCACCTGATACCATGGAAGTACTATCTGTTCAATATAAACTCTCTATAACATACCTGGTTTCACTCAACTGATACCATGGAAGTACTATCTGTTCAATACAAACTCTCTATAACATACCTGGTTTCACTCACCTGATACCATGAATATTTCTGATTGCAAATGCAATTTCTCTTCTAAGTTCTTTCTCATCAAACTCCATCTGGAGGAAAATAAATCATTAAAATAAAGTTTAATACATCTACACTATCTTCAGGCAGTCAAATCAGGAGGTTAGGTAGAAACAGGTTACAGCAGCTTGATAAGCTGTCAAAAACGGAAGTTTATGGCCATGAAAAGACACGGACCTATCTGATTAGAGCCACACTTTCTACATTAACAGCTAACAGTTAGAACATGACTGACACAGAGTAACTTTAAACACTTGTGGAAAATTTTAGAAACAAATTGGAAATTATCTTACATTCGTTAATACTAACCTTTACTATTTCAAAAGGAAAACGTTCATGAAACAGTCGATTGATACGAGCACCACCAGAAAGTTCGTTAGTATTTATCGCTGCAGAGCCTGAACCTTCGATGTTCTGTTCAAAGTCTGTCTGAAGCTGCTGGATCATTCTTGGGAGGGGACAAAAGACAATCAATCTTAGAAACTTACATCTAAAATACTAATTTATTGAAGGTTTCTATCAGAATTTACAAGGCTTGAAGTACCGGTGTATGGTTGAGGTCTCAGTAAAAAAATTTTGTTATCTGCAAGTAGCTTTATCTTATTGATTAGATCAAAAAGTGGGTTTCTTACATTCAAGATACAAGCTTTCTTGGCTGAAACAACTAATTACCTTGTTAAGTATAATTTTTAAAGGGTGTCAAATATTTTCATTTGAAAAAATTAGAACAACAGGAATTTAGTCCTCCTACTTAAAATACAAGTGAAAAACAACAAATCAAGTACGAAACAAAATAATGAAATCAAAAGAATTTCTTGTTAGTTATGATAATAAATAAGTAACTTATCATTTAAGGTAATCATTTACTGTAACATGCCTTATGTACATTTCCAGTTGATGTCACTGAATCTTAGTTATACTTGCTCAAAAAGTTAGTTTACGAATACTACAGATGTAGTTTCTGGAGCATGAGTGTCTACTGAACCAGCTCAGCAAAAGACAAATGAAGCTGGCTTTGATTTCCACATAAATATAAAAGTTTCTATCCTACCCAAACACACATTGTCTTCCTTGAGAATTCTTCAATAATTATTCATGGGTTAACAAGACTAAAAATGATGACCATCATAAAGGTATTATAATTTACATTTGAAAATAATCGGTTTTCATAAATTTCCTGAAAATGCAGAAAACAAACTAGTTTGAGTATATCTCCAAATGAAACTTTTGGTTTAATAATTCACAGTTGTAGTAAAACATAAAGATCATGAAATCTCCAGTCTTACTGCATCATGGCTTTGGTTTTACGAGAAGGGTCATCAGGGCGGAACTGTTTATACTCTTCAACTTCTTTTTCCATAGACAGCAACTGATGTTGTAATTTCTCCCGCAGTGCGGGAAGAGTATCTTTGATATGATTCGTTAGTTGCTGATTAAGTACTCTCTGTAAGTACGGAGTGCCCATTTTGTCAGCCATGTGCCTAGAAATACAAGACAACAGTGTGGTTCAACATCATTTTTTTTATACAATCCTGAATGACTGAGAAATATTGAAAAAACAAAACAAAGTTGACTGTAGTAAAAAAATAAAAGCTCTATAATTATTTTACCTTAGTTAAGCCTAATTGACTTATTGTTTAGTGTTGAAAAAAGTTACACAAGAAATACTTGCACTAGTCATCCCTAAGGTTGAACCGATAGATCAGAGGAAAGGCAGCTACTGAACAGCACCAATTCTTGTTGAACTGAATAGTGGGATCTGACTGTCACTCTTATAATGCACCAATGGCCCCAAGTGCAGAGCATGATCTACTTTTTTATTTTTTTTATTTATTATTATTATTCAATAATAAAACTGAACCATAATCTGACACACTAACCTCTAAGCCTTGCATGCTCGGCTCATTCAAGTTTATAGTAAACTTCTAGTTTAATAATCAATAGCACTAACTCATCAGTTTAGTGTTTCCAATAAAAAAAAACAGTCAGGCATTTGAAGCAAAATCTAGGTCAGTAAAACTAGAAAATAAAACTAATTTTATTGGACCTTATTTATCAATAGTCCAACAATAAACTTATCAAGTTCTGTTTAAGTACCTTAGACATAAGCAGGGGTTGAATAATATCAATACTATGTACTTTGGAAAACAAATATATCAGTATCAACTTTGGTTATTCATCTGTTCTTTCACCACAAGCTGGTGAACCCAGTCTTCTTAAGAGGAATATTTTGAGTAGAAATCCATTAATAATGTAAAGAGGGAAACATAACTTCACAACAAAGGTATTTAAAAGAACTTGTATGAAGGTTAGGAAATCGTTGTTTATTTGATGTTTTGAACTGCTCCATTGATATTACTTCATGTGTCCTTTCACAGGAAAGCATCAGGCTCCAGAGAGTAAAGAGGGCTGATAAGATGTTACGTGATTTGTTAATTCTGTTTGGTTTGTGTCAGCACCTTTAAATTACAGTATTTATGCTACCATGTTTCATTAGGGTTAATGTATTTGCTATCAACTTCACAGAACTCAAAACCTAACCTCAATATGTAAATTATTTGTAAAATCCTGTGCTTCTTATGCTACTCAAACCTCACTCACACAACCCTATCAAACCTTTTACTGAAATGAAAATACCAGAACTTCTAGATCTGTTATATAAAACGTTTACCTGTAACTAGGATGACTTAGAAGAAACTTTCGTTCTCCCTCAATAGCTGCTTTAATATCTTTTCTTCCCTCAATATCCTTCTGACTCCTGTTCACAACACCAACATAACCTGGAGAGAAACATAATTCTTATCAGCTTTACTTGTTATATTTGTTTGCAACACCAAAAATAATCTATAATCATGTTTGCTTCCTATTCAACAACAATCTTAGCTTAGAGAAAAAAGCTTAAAGCTTGCTTTCGATGCACTCAAACTACAGTGGTTTTCTTAACAATGTTTCAAACCACTTGCTCTATGAAACCTACTACGCAGATGAAAAGTATGGAGTTTTTACCTCTACGAAGTGGAAAAGTCCTGTTTTCCAGAATGTCACGAGCATCTGTTCCTTCATCCATCAGGTCAAGTTTCGTGATAACTCCTATAGTTCGCATTCCTTTGAAATCAGAAGAAAATGTTGGACACAATTATCGCAAAAATAGACATTTGATGAAAAATCACGTACGCGCCAAAATTAGTAAAAAACACGTACATGCCGAAATTAGTAAAAATCACGTACACGGCGAAATTAGTAAAAATCACGTACATGCCAAAATTAGTAAAAATCAAGTAAACATATATGCCAAAATTAGTAAAAATCACGTACATGGCGAAATTAGTAAAAAACACGTACACACCGAAATTAGTAAAAATCACGTACACACCGAAATTAGTAAAAATCACGTACACACCGAAATTATTAGAAAACACATACATATATATGGCAAAATTAGTAAAAACTATAAAAGAAACATCACAAATGTTAAAACAAAAAAACATATATATTAAAACTACAAAAGGAATATCACAAATGTTACAGATACTACACACACTGAAGTCACACAAATTTATCACGCAACAGTTATTGAATGTAAGTGAATAAAAAATTACAAACATTTCTGGTAAGATGAAGCGCTTAAAACAATTAACTAGCTAACAATTACACAATGTGGAAACCTCAGTTTTAATTAATTGTTGTTTACCAGAAGAATGTTGAACTTTGTAAAATTATTTGATCAGGTAACTTGTCTTTCTAGCTATTTGTTCCTCTTTTGATTCAATCATTTTAAAGAAATCTAAAAAATTTGCAAAATTAAAAAATTGTTTACTTAAGAACTTTAAAGAACTTGCTAGATTTTATTTTGCATAAGATTATTTTAAATTTATAATGTAAAAAAACAAAAAGGCAATGTGAAGAACATGCGACAGAGCCAAGGTTAAAAGTTTACTGAGGTTTGTTAGCATGTCTGATCCATTGACATGGGATGTTATTTGTTAGAAATTTAATATCAGTAGAAGATTCCACATCAAGCACATGTAACTGGTCTAAATAAAAGAAATACTGGTTTTGAATAAATGAATTATACAGAGTTTATCTTGTAAGAAGTTATTACCTTTATTATTGAAGTATTTTTATTAGTAGTTTTTGATATTTGCAACCTAAATGTTTTTATTGTTCTCAAAACAAGTTGGGAATAAAAAACCTTGGACTGAAAAAAAATGATTTGTTAAGTGAAAATAATATATTCATACTGTTCCACCTTAACTAATGTAAGTTATTAACTACTAAACCATGCAAAGTTTTAGCCCAAGTTTTAAGAACCTTTGTTTTGTTGAGTCTAGTGCCAAGCTACTTGATGGCTACCTGCACTAGCCATCTCTAATTAGAAGTGATAGACTAGATGGAAATAGGCTAATCAACACCATCCTCATTCTGGCTATTATTGTACGGAAGTTAGATCCTAAAGAGGCCTAGCATGACCTGATGGTTAGGGTGCTCGAGTCACTCCGCTGAACATGCTTACCTTTTTAGCCATGGGGGTGTTATAATGTGATAGACAATACCACTATTTGTTGGTTGCAGTTAAAGTTGTTTTTTTTAATGCAAAACTTAATAACTAGTTACTAACTTGCTCTTATATCATATCGAACAAATCAAGGACTGGAAGATATAAACATTGTACTTGGGTAAATAATATATCTAAAGAACTAGTGTAAAGAAAGAACTTGTTTCCATACCTTCTGGATCAACTTCTTTAGCAAGCTTCAGAGCATCAGATGTAGCAACATCTTGGTTGGCAGCAGTGACAGCAAGAATGAGACAGTTTTCCTTGCGAATGAAAGAGAGGATCATTTCTCGAATTTGGTTTTCAATGTCGGCAGGTTGATCACCCACTGGTACTCTCGTCATACCCGGCAAGTCAACAAGAGTCAAGTTTAAAACTAGAAAAGAACGTATAAATAAAATTGGATTACTTGTTTCACAGATAAACTAAAAACTGTATCACTAACTTCAGAAAAAGATTTCCTATAGCTAGCTCTCATGTTGTGTAGCTCAAGAAAGGAGTATATTAAAAATAGTGAGTGGAAAAAAAAACAATTTAACGAGTCAACATCGCTTAAAACCCATACCAAAAATCGGACTGTGTCCCGGAGTCAACATCGCTTAAAACCCATACCAAAAATCGGACTGTGTCCCGGAGTCAACATCGCTTAAAACCCATACCAAAAATCGGACTGTGTCCCGGAGTCAACATCGCTTAAAACCCATACCAAAAATCAGATTTTTTCCTGGAGTCAACATCGCTTAAAACCCATACCAAAAATTGGATTGTGTCCTAGAGTCAACATCACTTAAAACCCATACCAAAAATCGGATTGTGTCCTGGAGCTAACTTGTTAATCTCTTCTATAAAATTTACACTTTTAGAATTAAAATGAATTTTAAACATGTACTTACCTCTAAACTACTGAAAGCTTTTTTTCCTTTTTAATTACATTTATGCTGTCAACAAAACGTGACTAAAAAATTCTAAATGTCCTTCATACATGTCACCCATAATTCTCTGTTTCTCACTTTCTAAACGACTTATTGCACAGGTCAGGGGAGCTTACACAAGCTCTACTTTCCCATCATAATTCAACTTTTATTGAAAGTTACAGCTGTGATGGAAACCTGGTTGCTGGGAAGTGGGGAGGAAAGTAAGTGCATGTCTGAAATTAAATCTAATTCTAAAAATGTAAAACTCAGATCAGGTGGTCTTAACTCTAAAATGCTATAAGCCAGGATATCCACTTTCAAAATGAGGTGAGCCACAGTAAGAATGAAAATAGCATAGAAAAATTAAAGTTAGAAGTTATAGGACAGGAAATAAAAAATACAATTAGAAGTTATAGGACAGGAAGTAGAGAACACAGTTAGAAGTTACAGGACAGGAATATAAATAATCTAGAGAATAATAAGTATTCAGCTATGAAAAGTTTAGGGTAGAATCTAGAAAAAAAATTCAATGAACTCGACTTGATGGAGTGGAGTAGATTAGCCCTGTAGGAATACTGGGCCTAAAAACACTGAAAAACAATACATTTTTTCCAGCAGGGCGCTTCTTCTCATTTCAATTCATAAACAAAAAAGGGGTGAACAGTGGGTGTGAGCAGGCTAAGTATTGAGTGAACATACTCCAGGTTCTATAACACCACTTCATCCATAGATAAAGTGGGTAAGTCACAGAAAAGAAACCTAAGATGAACCAAGGATGGGGCTCAACAACTTGAGGATAGAGTAATGAAGAAACGAGGACAAAAATAAGAGGGGGGGGGGAAGAGATACAATACACGTGATCCCCAATCTGGTTGGAGTTGAGACATGGGGATCGTTTTTCAGACATCTCTTCTGCACACACCACACTTAGGTGGGAAAATACATGCAAGAACGAAAGTGTGGTAAATGAACCGATAAAACATTTCCTGATTGAAAAAACTAAAAAAAATAAAAAAGCGAGGTGAATTAAGACGTGCAAGTAAGTATCTTTGATATTCACTTTAATCGTTCAAAAACCTTGTCAGTGGAATTTTCTTAAGTTCTTATAAAAAATCCTGATTTCTTTGGCACTACAAAATGATGAGAGTAAAATTTTGTGGAAACATGATCTACTGTTTCGATGGTCCTTTTTTATATAAAACATTCAAAACTTCCTGATCCAATTTGGATTATATAGAAGAAGAAACCGTACTAACTATGAGATTAAGCTCTGTGGAAACATGATCTACTGTTTCAATAGTCCTTTTTTATATAAAACATTCAAAACTTCCTGATCCAATTTGGATTATATAGAAGAAGAAACCGTACTAACTACGAGATTAAGCACAGAGATCTGGGATGCTGGTACCAAAACAGTTTACTACCACAAGGGGGTGAGATATGATTTTACCACATAAAACAAACTATAAAACTATACACAGAGGTCTGGGATACTGGTACCAAAAATGGTTTACAACCACAAAGGGTGAGACATGGTTTTTCATACATAAAGCAAACTACAGAATTATGCCACAGTTCCATAGATACTAACCATGTCCAGTACAGTCCGTGCATGTTTTAGGTTTTATTGAAATCATGGTTACTGTCAGCTTTTAATAAAAGTTAGATTATGTTTAAAAATAACTCTTTCAGTGCCAAGTTTTATATACAAAACACTGGTGAGTCTTAGAGGAGAGGAGGGGAGATGGATGTACATATAATATTAAGAAAAAACATCATGTTACAATACACGACATACTACATAGAAGAAACTTAAGATAACTATAATACTCGTAAAAGTAATCTTACCCTAGTACAACTTCACACAGTACTGTATATTGTGAAACTGGCTATCCTTACCATAAGGATACATGACATACTACATAGAAGAAACTTAAGATAACTATAATACTCGTAAAAGTAATCTTACCCTAGTACAACTTCACACAGTACTGTATATTGTGAAACTGGCTATCCTTACCATAAGGAGAGAAAACTCGCAAGTTGATGGGAGCAGAAGAAATTCCTTTATTGGCTCCCGTGAGTCGATCAGTTTCATCTTCAATTTCTTTTCTGATTGATTCAAAGTCTGTAAATTTCCTCCCTTTGCAGTGTAAAAATTCTCCATATTCTATAAAAATAAAGACATTGGTGTATCTACGTTCATCACCAAGTATTCTCCATATTCTATAAAAATAAAGACATTCGTGTATCTACGTTCATCACCAAGTATTCTCCATATTCTATAAAAATAAAGACATTGTGTATCTACGTTCATCACTAAGTATTCTCCATATTCTATAAAAATAAAGACATTCGTGTATCTACGTTCATCACTAAGTATTCTCCATATTCTATAAAAA